CAGAAAGGGAAGCAGCTCATGGATCTCTTCAGGCATGCCCAGTCTGTCAAGGTGCAATGTGTAAAAGCTAGACATCCACTCTTTCTGTAATGGTAAAAATAAAACGGCCCCGTGGGCCATGAGGGGCAGCGGATCCTAGGCAGGGAACCGTGTGGTGGGTGAGAGACCAAGACAGATAGGCACCCCATGCAGAGTGAGGTTGAATATTTATTTACTGGGTTATGGAAGGGAAGGGGCAAAGGGGAGTGGAAGGGAGGGAAAAGGGGGATGAAGAGAAAGAGGCAGAGAGAGATAAAGGGGAGAGAGGAGCCACAGCAGCAGCTACCTCTTTGGGAGAGAGACGGAAAGGAAGGGACTCAGGCTGGAATCAGAAGGAAGATCTGCCCGCCTCAGTGCGGGTGGGGGGGGGGGGTTGAGTTAAGATTAGGGAAAAAAAATTAGGACCAGGGAATTGAGAAGAATCTGACCTGTTTAAGGTGGATCCTTCAATTCAGCTCCCTGGAACTCACAAGAATTATTCGGGTTTGTGAAAACATAAGTTTTAAACAGTAGTATATTTATATCAGAATGACTGTGACAAATATTTTTGCATAATGCAAAGTATCTTTAAAGGCAGTGTGAGAGAGAAATTTGATAGCGTGCACTGGTCCTCACACCTTTATAACTTAACAGGTACACACCTTAATAACCTGTATTTGTATTTTGCTGAAATTTGTTTGGTGAGGTTGTCCTTTTAAACTGACCAAACCTCTCAGCCATCAAACTGCAGCAGAGATCTTTGAGGAGAATAAAATTGGTGCTTGGGACTTGGCCAAGATCTCTCCATGTTCCCTCCACCCGCAGATGGGCCAGCTGAGAAGATGTGGAACCCTGGGCTCTGGAACCAGGTTTCTTTACAACAGCTCTGTGTTGCTCTTAGCTGCGGAGCCGTCTCTCCAGCCCAACAGCTCTGTGTTGTATCTGCCCGAATGCAGACCTCTACGCACACCAGCAGCTTCGGTGGTGAGTTTTCCCCTTCCAGTCAGCCAACCACAGCCTTCACGGCTACTGTTGAGCCCTTCACTGACATTCATCTCTAGTTGCTTTCCATAGCTAAAAACGTGACTGGACAACCTAGGGTTGGTCCTCCTGCGCTACCACTGCTGTGTGGTGCATTCGATTTGGGGCCCAGGGTCCCTCAGATTTTTTTTTTCTCCTTTCCTTTCTGATGGACCACTCGTAAGTGGTCCCCTCCATGAGAGACTGTTTGGAGCGGCCTCTAGCCTCTCTGGCTCCAACACCCGGCCTGCAGAGAAGAGACGTCTTCCTATAGGCTTTCCAGTGTCACAGTCATTTCACACCCCACCTATAGAGAGGGGACGCTCTTCTACAGGCCCTGTGGTGTTTTCACGTTTTCAGTTATGGTATAAACCCTCAAACTATCAGTCACCTGCCTGTAAATGCTCCACCGGTGTCCTGCTGGCTCTGCCTTTCCACAAACTCTACCTGCCACCTCTACCACTGCTGACAAGATTGGTCAGATCCATGAGACAGCTGTTTTCAATTCCAGCCTTTGTTCCCCACCGCGGCTTGTGGTGCAACAGCTCAGCATCAGGACAGATCACACCTCTAGGTATCTCTTGTTATTAGGTTTAAAACTCCCGCGGCTCAAAAAATGTAGCTTTTCCATACAACATGTGACCGCTGCCATTTTGACTGAGGTCAGGTGACCTTAACACCATCTTATATTTTTGGTTGTGAGCCTAGCCTTTAATGGCTGAGCCATCTTTCCAGCCTGACCTTACCACCATCTTAATTGAGGTCAGATGACCTTACCGCCATCTTAACTGATGGCCAGGTCAGGTGACCAAGTCTCGCCATCTTTACTGAGGTATTCCTTGCCTGGTTCCCCGTGCTGATTCTGGTGCATGTGTGTTTTGCGCAGTGGCATGCCTTTGGTAGGGGCCACCAAAGCGTCCACTTCGCCTAATTCCTGTTCACTCTGTGTGTGTGTGTGTGTGTGTAAGCACCTATGTTTACTGTTAAATGTTATAATTGTCTGTTCATTGTAGCTCATTCCAGACTACAAAGCAACAAGTCTCATGTTTTAAACTGATATGTACTTTTAAGTCTCTTACAAAAGTACTTTATATTTAATCCAACCCTGCTTTACCTGTTAAGTTGAGAGCCAGTACAGTCAAGCTCAGACCCAGCTCTCCAGGCAGATTCTGTACTGTAGGTATATAACTCATCTATACCTGATAAACAGCCCTCAACTGCTCAGAGATCTGGGGAATATGGCATTTAAATATTTACTTATTAAAAGACTTTTCACAACAAAAAGAGACAGGTTGGCTCCTTACAGCATCACTCTATTTCTCCAAAGAAGACAGAAGACAGGTGGGCACAAAACAACGTCCATCTGCAATTTGCTACAACTGCCAAGCACTGACCACTGGGCAAAACTGCCTTTCATCTAAACTGAAGATCTCCAGACAGTGGACAGAATCGCTCAATTGACAGCCTAGCTACTCAGGTCAAGTTAAGCTTGTCTTCCTACAGACTTCTTAGCCCACAGGATCTTCTGGAGCCTGGCAGGCTCTGTGTAAACAGCAAAAGGCAAATAAATACAACCCTCAGTGACCATGGAGGACCCTGAGGAATAGCTCTAGGTGCCAACCAAGTCAGTTCCTGTCATTTTTTTTTAAATATTTATTTATTTATTATGTATACAATATTCTGTGTATATGCCTGCAGGCCAGAAGAGGGCACCAGACCTAGTTACAGATGGTTGTGAGCCACCATGTGGTTGCTGGGAATTGAACTCAGGACCTCTGGAAGAGCAGACAATGCTCTTAACCTCTGAGCCATCTCTCCAGCCCTCCTGTCATTTTTTAATCAGTAACTCAAGTAAAATTTTATCCTTCTCAAAGGTCTTTGATGTAGTTTGACAGCTGAAAGATTTTTTCGGTTTAAAAGAACAGCCTCACCAAAAAAAATTTCAGTAAAACACAAATACAAGTTATAAAGATGTGAGGGCAAGTGCACACTATCAAATTTCTCTCTCACGCTGCTTTTCATAGTCTTAAAGATACTTTTCATTGTGCAAAAACATCTGTCGCAGTCATTCTGACATAAATACGCTACTGTCTATATAATGCATGTGTCTAAATTATGGTTTTTGGGGGGAGGGGTGGTGGTTTGGAGACAGGGTCTCTCTACATAGCTGTGGCTGTCCTGGAACTCACTCTGTAGCCCAGGCTGGCCTCTAATTCACAGAGGTCAACCTGCCTCTGCCTCCCAGGTGCTTGGATTAAAGGCGTGCACCACCACATCTAGCTGATTTTGTTTTTTAGGAATCTGAAGCAGGTGAAAAATCAACAAGCAGGCTGTGTGCTCAGACGTCTCACTATGAGCACTTCTAAGGTAATCTACAGAAACCTTATAGTATTCTTTGAATCAGCAATTACAATTTATAAAGCTCCTTCAACAGTCTCAATTATGACTCCAATATCAGATTCTTGTCATAGTCTTTAAACCACAATGAAGTCAAAGAATACTTTAGTGTTAATGCCCGTCACCCACTTGAAAAATACCATTCTTCACTGGCACTTTATTATAAACTTCTCTCCTTGATCCTGCCACCATTTTACTCAAAAGCAGCATCCCAGAACTAAATGAGGGTCCAACCTGGCCTCGAGAAGCATCTCGTGTAAGAGCCATGTGCATATCGCCTGTAAGACAGCTCTGAAGTGCTGTGTGGGCAGCCAGCTGCGGAAACAGCGTTTGGAGCAACAGCTGCAGGCAGCAAGCAGCAAGAAGGCACGCTAGCCCAGGAGAGCCATCTGTGGGCCTGGTATCCTGTCATCACTGCCTTCACCCAGGAAGGGGATTTAGCATCTGCAGGAGCTTAGAGAGCCTCCCTACGTTTGAAGATTATATTAGGGGGTAGTGCATGCTATGTCTTATTAGAACAGACTGAGAGTACAGATGCTTTAATGTGCTAAAAGCTGGTGCTGACTGCCATTTATACCAGTGACAGGAAATACAGTTGACAAAGGAAAGTTTGCGCCAGTTAGCGTGCACTCATACTTGGACATTTCCACGGCACTCCGTTCCAGTCGTGCACCTCAGAGGAAGGTCTGAGCAGGGGAGCCGCGCATCTCAGTCTGCTCAGTTGTCAGCGTCTCCCTTTACTGGTGATATGACTGATGGCTGAGCCGAAGTCACGTCTCCTGTCGGGTATAGTTTTCCATAAAGCTTTTCCAACCATAAAACAGTTTTCCTTTGGTAATTGAGAAGTTATCTTCTGGGGGCTGGAGGTTAAGTGGTTAAAGGGACTAAGGACTCAGGTTCAATTCTCAGCACCCACGTGGCAACTCATAACTGTTGGTAACTCCAGTCCCAGGGGGTCTGACACCTTCACGCAGACATCCATGAAGGCAAAACACCAACTAAACTTTAAAAAAAAAAAATGTTCTAGGAAGATAACTTTTTTCTATTGATTTTAAAACAGATTTTTTCCCCTAATTTTCTGTTTCTCCTAACTTTCTACACACAGTATTACAGTTCTTTTATCTGTTCTGTACCTTGAATTATGAGTATCTACTCTATCCCCAGTCTCTGGGGCAGAGTTAAACTCTCAGGAACACATTCATCACTCATACCAACCTCTAAGTAAAAACCAGGAAAAGCAGCCAAACTCCTGACCATGCCATGAGCAAGCTCCATGCACTCTGCAGGAGCAGGTGAGCACCGTGCAGGAAGCAGTGACCAAGATGGCTACGGCTTGAAGTCAATATCCCATACTTACAATTAAGAACCTTACTTAAACAGAAGAAGAAACATACATTCAGTAGGAATAATGAAAAATTTAAAAACCCTTTTCTTTAAAAGAAGTCCAACGTTACCTTACCTGAGAACAAGAGTCCTCAGGTGAACTTTGGCCTTCTGGTAGCCACCTGGGGAATCTGGTAGAAGATGGTGGCCCTGTAGCCCGAGGCTCTGACAATGGTCCTTACCTGTTGTGGAAAACAGGTGCGGACTGCATGTTCCGTGTAACCAAAGGATGGTCCTTCAAAGACAGCTGTAGGGAGCTTCAGGGCTTCCTTCAGAAACTGGTCAAGCTTGCCAAATATCATCAAGCCATTGGAATCTGACATCTGGGAGAAAATGTCTTTAGGAACAAAAGTAAATAAAGGCAAACTATAAGAAAATATCATCTCTTAAAAATTACACATGGCTCTATGCTATTTCTGCACCACTAAACACGCATCATTCAGAAGAATCATAAAGTTACAAGTTTTAGTTAACGTTCAAATTATTCTTTTCCTTATTAACGCCGTATAGTTACTTTGCTCACAAGGTCCCTCAATCCTACCCCTAGTCATTAAGTGTAATAACCATTCATGTATGCCCAACTCACCTTTTCAAATCATTTTTCAATGGGGGGTGGGGTTGCACATGAGTGCAGTACCCACAGCAGCCAGCAGAGGGTAATGGATCACCTGGAGTTACAGGCAGCTGTGAGGTGCCTGCCATAAGGGGTGAAAATCAAATCCAGGTCTCTACAAGAGCAGCAAGTTCTCTTAACTGCTTAGCCATCTCTCCAGCCCTCATCTCGCAACTTCCTAAATTCATGTAACTGAAGGATAATTAGTTTTTAATTTATGTAACCCACCGTTATAAGAAAATTTGAAGCAGCATGTTTTTACTCCTCAGTACCTGTTTATAAGACACACGCAGCACTTGGGCGGCGGAGGCAGGTGAATGAAAGTACACAGTTTTCAGACCAGCCTGAATGATATGAGACCCTGTTTCCTCAAACAAGCAAGCGCTGATGAGCCAGAACACAAGAAAGTCTGCAGCGAGACAGTCTCTCCTAAAAATGGCAACAACAGTGGGCATAACAACATGGAAGGTGGGAAATTTCACGGGACCCTACCCCTACAAAAGAGCTACAGACAGCTAATCACTGTTGGGAGAAGAATTAGCTCCTCCCAGGGATAAGTCCCCTTATTGGTTGTCCAGTGCAAAGTGGTCAGCCCTGAAACCACATACACAGAAACAACAAAGCCAGACTCAGCAGATTGCATTTATATATTTGAGCAATCGCATATACTTACATATGCACATAACAGTAATAATCAAAGAAAAAAGGCTATCAGCGTGGCAGTTGAGAGGCACATGGGAGGGACTGGAAGGAGGAAAGGGGGAGGTCTAAGTGATATGATTCTACTTCAATTAAAACATTTTAAAAGCTAATGACCCATACATTGTTGACTCAACAAGAAATGTCCCCCACGGGCTCATGTACCAAACACTTGGTCCCTAGCTGGTGATGCTATTTAGAGAACATTATGAGACTTTTAGGACACATATTTGTTGGAGGAAACATGTCACTAAGAGCAGGCACAATGATGAGCCCTTTTTTTCTTAGAATTCACTTTGTTTTAGGTTATAATATAATTACATTTCTCCCTTCCTCTTGAATACATACATACCCCATACCCCGTGCTCTCTTTTACATTCAAGGTCTTGGGGTTTTTTTTTTTTTGTTTTGGTTTGGTTTTGGTTTTTGGAGACAAGATTTCTCTGTGTAACAGTCCTAGCTGTCCTGGATCTTGCTTTGTAGACCACACTGGCCTCAAACTCACAGAGATCCACCTGCCTCTGCCTCCTAAGTGCTGGGATTAAAGATGTGTGCCACACCACCTGGCTCATGACTTTTTTTTAATATTTATTTATTTATTATGTATACAATATTCTGTCTGTATGTATGCCTGCAGGCCAGAAGAGGGCACTAGACCTCATTACAGATGGTTGTGAGCCACCATGTGGTTGCTGGGAATTGAACTCAGGACCTTTGGAAGAGCAGGCAATGCTCTTAACCTCTGAGCCATCTCTCCAGCCCCCGACCTTTTTTTTTTTTTAATTGGATCACATACACGCACATTCACACACCCTGAATACAACCTGCTCAGTCTGTATAGTGTTCCTTGTATGTATGATTTCAATAATACACACACACACACCCTCTGAATACAACCTGCTCAGTCTGTATAGTGTTCCTTGTACATATGTTTTCAGTAGCACACACACACCCTCTGAATACAACCTGCTCCGTCTGTTCCTTGTATGTATGCATGTTTTCAGGGTATTGGATAACCAGTTGGTGAGCTCTTCCCTGGGGAAGACTATTTCTCCCACTCTCAGCATTCCTTAGTTGCCTGGAGTTCTTTGGGAAGAGCTGAGGTCATGTGGGCTCTTCCCTGTGCACTTTGGCACATCTACTGGTCAATATTCAGCTCACATTTGGGTGGTCTTGTCAATGAGACTTTAAGGGTGTAGCTTCTGACAGTCCAAGGAAACACAATCTCACAGCAAACTCCCTGATCCTCTGGCTCTTACAATATTTCCACACCCTTGCCAGCAGTGTTCCTTGAGCCTTCGGTACTGGAATGTTTTATAAATGTAGTCACTAGGACTGGGTTCCACAACTCTGCATTTTGATTGGTTGTGGTTTTCTATACTAGTGTCTGTGTGTAGCAATGTGAAGTTTCCTTGATAAGGGGTGGGTAAAGACCACACTTACCTGTGGGTGGGAGGACAGATGTTTAGATTGGTTAGGGCTGGCCTCACCTCCCCTACCCCTCTCTGCTTCTTACATGTAGATGACATGTGATCACCCTGCTTCCTGACTGCCAGGCCAGCTTCAGGCTCCTGCTGCCAGCCCGTCCTCCTGTGAAGGACTTATCCACTCTGGGGCTGTACGCCAAAACAAACCATTTCTTCCCTAACTTGTTTTTGTCAGAGTAGTCTATCACAGCAAGAGGAGAGCAACTAATACACCATTTATATTCTTCTATCCCAAGAGACTGTGATACAATATGATTCTGTTTTTACAGAAAGATGGCCAAGAAGATGGGAAAGGAGTTCCTAGTAATTCTGTTCATTGGTCTTTGTATAGAGCTCCTGTCTCAGTTATTCCTCTTCTCATCCAGAGTTCAGGAGAAAGAAGGATAACAGAAGGTCAAAACCGTGTGACAAGGAGACATGACCTCTGTCATATACGTGCACGTGTGCTCAGGCAGAATTATTTAAAATAACAGATAAGAAAGTATTGCTTAGAACTTTAGCCAATGGTTAAATCAAGTTTGAAATCCATACCTATCTGACTCTGTAGTAAATGTGAGCAAATTACAGTGCTTTAAGATATAACTTAGAGGCTGGAAAAATGGCTCCGTGGTTAAGAGCACTGGCTGCTCTGCTCTTCTAGAGGTCCTGAGTCCAATTTCCAGCAACCACATGGTAGCTTACAACCATCTACAATGGTGTACAGGTGTACATGAAAAGCATTCATATACATAAAATACAAATTAACAAACAAACCTTTGAAAAAACAAAAAAGAATTTAAAGGTATATTAATAAATGATAAAAGGAAACTATTTTTAAAATATCAACAGACAGGACCGTATATATCAACATCAGGAACATTGCTAGGTGTGGTATCTGGGTATGGTGGTGTTTCCCTGTAGTTCAATACTTAGAGGCAGGAGAAGTTCCATAACTTTGAAGCCATCCTGGTTCACATGGGAAGCTCAAAGCCAACCATGGCTACATAAAAAGACCATGTCCCTAAAAATCAGAGGGAAAAAAGGACAGAGGGAAGGAGAAGAACAAATGAACTAAGAGCTTTAAAATAAACATATTAAAAGAGGGCCTGTCACTATGCAACAAGAGCACACACAGGGTAAGCCAAACTCGGGAATAAGAGTGCCTGCTTAGCAAGCATGAGGCCCTAGGTTCAACATGGTATCCTCCCCAAATGAACAAAAAGCCATGAAAAATAATGACTAGGATATACCCATAGCCAAAAAACATCATTGATAGGACAGAATGACAATTGGATAAATGCTAGAAAAGGAAGAAGGAAGGCAAATTTATAAGTTCTCCCAGAAGAGAGAAATGCAGAGATATTAACTCATTTATGAGAAACATTAACACACAAAGCAAGACAAGGAGCAGAAAGAATACAAAGGCAGAGCACTTTCCTATCCTGCATAAGCTGGGTTCAATTCTCGGCAAAACAAACACATCAATTAGAAGACAACAGTAATGACAAGTCACAAAAAGGGATTGCCAAGAAAGTGTTCAGTAGCTCAGAAGAGATAGCTCAATGGTTAAGAGCACTGGCTGCTTTTCCAGAGGACCTTTCCTAGTACTCACATGGCAGCTCACACCTATCTGTAACTCCAGTTCCAGGGGATCTGACGCCCTCACACAGACATACATGCAGGCAAAACACCAATGAACATAAAATAAAAAATAAATTATACATATATTTTTAAGAGTTAGTTTTCAGAATTTATTGTTTTTTCATATGGCCCAGGTTGGTGTGGAACTCACTATGGAGTCAAGGATGACCTTGTACTTCTGGTGGCCCTGCCTCTACCTCCCTTCGCCGCTCCAGTTACAGTCTATGTGGTGCTAGGGAGTGAGCCCAGAGCTTCACCTGTGTCAGGCAAGCACCCTACCAACTGACCTCTATTCCAGACCCAAACAAGTCTAAAAGAAAGGAAGTGGTGGCCGGGGTGGGAAAGAAGAATCAACTGGAGATGCTTCAATGTATTGGATAAGAGAATAAAGGACTTTCAAGGTTAGGATTACTCTACATTTCTAGCGTGAGAAGATGTGACAAACCTTACTGAAATAACCTAGAGATGTCATACCTGTATCAGAACTAACTGCATGGGGCCTGGCGTCTTGTTTACAGGTGGAGCTATCCTACACAGAGCGCTGAGTCTCAAGTATTAAGGACTGCAGTGAGCTCGGAGATGCTCAGCTTCTAAAAAGAGGGGAAAGCACGGTTGACTCCATTTTTAAAAAGCTGGTTGCTATTCCTACCAGGAGCACAACTATGCATTAAGTCAGAACACAGGGTCAGTATGGGATGTGGCAGACACCTCACGGCACCCACACAGTGTCTACTTCCCCTCTCACTGGCTGAACCCTGTGTTTATTGTGACAGTGTGCACAGGTTTTTTTTTTTCTGATGTGGGAGTGTCATATATCAATCTGTTGATTTCACTGGTTAAGTAATAAACCAACTGCTTGGCCTCATAGCTTAGAACATAGATGGGAGGAGGAAACAGAATAGAATTCTGGGCGGAAGA